ATAACGATGTGCTGATTAATTTTATTAATATTTTATCAAAAGAAATACAAATCTTTTGTAATAATTAATTGAAAATAGCAGAAATATAGCAGGTAACATTTGAGATAATAAATAAATTAATTTTCAATGAGTTGACTTCTCTTATTAACACCCGACTTTCAAAATTTTGATAATAGAATAATAATTTTGCTTAATAGAAATTGGTTTTTTCACCAAAGAAGATGTTTACAGAAAAAGAAAAATATATATTTGTGATTTATATATAAATTCTTCTTGATTATAAATTTTTCATTTCTTTAATTGTTACCCTTTTAGCTACAAAATTTTTCATAAATAATTAAACACTTCGGGGAATTAAAATTAGATTCTAAAGAGTAATGAGCTTCTTTTTTTACAAAGCAATGCATTAACCTTGACGAAAACCATGAACGGAACAAATTGTCTGATGATGGTAATACTTACCTTATCGAGAAATTGTTTGATCCAATCATGGTAAGACATGCTCGTCATCTACAAATTGCTCGTAAATCTTCGCAAATCGATCCGATATCTCGATTGGCGTGGCCTCTTATAGGAACGAGGGTATTCGTCGGGGAAGCCGCATTGCTTCTTTAAATGTTCGTATATTGCATTGTGCCGCGACCTCGCACAAAGATCCGTTCTTGTGACGTTTTTGTGCCGGAGTAACCGCGTCTAACGAGAAGCGTTTAAAAGGAGCGGCACGTTTAAGGGAGAACAATGGGAGAAAACGTGTGTGGGTGAATGTCGCAGAAAATGCGGAGGCCGTGCCCGGACAACCTTCCATCCGAAGGAGAGAATTAATCTATCGAAACAAAAAGTCATTGACCCGTTATCGATGAGAGAAAAAGAGAAAGAGAGAATAACAATTACAATGTGAAACATTAAGGATAAATTATTTAGTTGATTCTTGTAAAGAAAATCTTACAAGAGAAAGAAAGTTCTCATTTTAATCTTCTACAGAATAAAAATATTTAAAAATTAAAATTATAAAGTCTATTTTACTTCATATGAAATGGAAATTCAAGTTTTGTTATTTATTTTGCGATTTAATCGCATGTAATTTGAAAACTCATTTAGATAGGGAAATTCGTTCTGAGCGTTACGCTAATCGCAAATTATTATACGTCGTGTATCATAATTAAGCTTTCTGAAATATATAAGTCGTTGAAAATTAAAGGCTCTGTGTTTGATTCCTACTGAAATGATTTATGGTCTGTATCACAACCTTCTTATGCGACGAGAGATGCTTGAAGGTAATTCACATAAAGTCCTTGACTCGTCGAATAAAGCGATCGAACTCGTTTGAATACTCGGTTTCTATTCGGTTGTGATTCGTGACATGAAGTATCCATCGAATAAATATATTTGCCAGATATTTAATTAATAATTCAATTATTCTTTAAAATATGAATCGATGTACGCGGCTTTGAGATGTTACGGTTTCCTCCTCGAATAAAGGCACAGAGATGAGTTCGTACTTGAAGATGTCGGTGGCAGACGATCCCTGTTCCGAGGTACGATACTGTCTGTCGAACTCGGTGTGAATCATCCGTTCACGGACAAAGGTGGGATCCGTTTCTTCGCTTGGGACACTGCGCTTCCAGTAACATGTTGCAACATCACGCTATTTAAATGCTACACGGAGGTGACCATACAGATAAAGCGGAGCGTTGTGCAAGTAGCGGAATAGAAAAATTCTTCGCGCGAACATTAATGGGTAATCAGCAATTAGGACTGAAAGTCTCTTTTAAAATATTAATTCTACAAACACATAATAACATATTTAATATAAACGAGAAAGTATAAATTTTTACGATGTTGAATTAAGATGAAGAGAGTGACGAGTTTAACAGGACTTTCACTGATTTCTTTATGATTAATCTCTGATTTCTTTCCAAAGTCTGTACGAAATTAAATACACAGATTCCATTATGAATTCTTGTAAATCGTCTGAAATGTATAACGAATTAAGTATCATGTTTGCTCTTCGTCTTCGATGTTTGTGGTCCGATGGAGAAATATCGCGAGAGAGACTTTGACACAAAAGCCCCGTTTTCTCTCGCACTTTCCTGCCGCCTTGCCGCTTGACTAATCAGACGCGCCACGCATCGTACATTACATTGATATGTGACGGTAGCGCGTATCACGCATAGCCACGGCACCGACATCTTTGACATCGTGCGGGGCGAATTGTACGAAGATAAAATAACAAGTCTGAAATGCATGTCCACCACATGGGAGATTTCCACTTTCTTTCTTTGCAATGAAAGCGCGCGAGACAGCGCCTACCCGGTACTCGTATTTCATAAGACGTGGCATAACAAGTTAATCATTTCGACCGCGAATTATAAAAAAAAAAAATCACTTTTTAACTATTTAACATTCAATTAATTATATAATAATTCATAGACAAATTTCGAATTTTATTTAAAATATTTTTTAATGCCGTAATTTCGTTATTTGACAATATGGTTCATATTATAATTGTAGTATATTGGCCGAATATATCTTAATTATTCGCGTGCGTGTATTATTCGTGTATGCGTGTATCACACGCTAACTCATTGGATATCATGTTATTATCGTTGCATGATGATGTTTGATTTGATTGTACCGACATCATTCGAGAGCCTATTTAGAAATCTTATTTTTTTCACTAATATAGTAATTATGAGATACAGGCGTGCGTAACGACACATATTGCCCGATTTTCTCCAGATCGACTTGCAGAGAGAAAAGTAACAGTGACAATTAGCTTTTCCCGGATGATGCGATTACCTGATTATAGACTAATTATCTATGCACATCCGTCCCGCTGCTCGCTTTCGTATCTCGCTTTCGACAACGCAGGATATCCATCCTCCTTACGGAGGGAAAATACGCATGCCAGTCGTCGAAACTGACGGTTGAGAATCGAAGATCGATGAGAATTTGCAACGGCACGTTAAAAAGCGCAGCCAATCCCCGCGCGTGCTAACATCTCTAACGCGCAGTCTGCGTTAACGTAACGGCTGCATTCTCCGACGTCGTCAGGTGTGCAACCGGTGAAAGTGCATGTCGGTAATTAGGAAGAAGAAAATTACGCCGCCCCGTTTGATACGCCGACCTAAATCCGAATTATTAAGCGGAGGAGAAGTGAATCTTTATGACCGATGTGCGATTGCCAGCCGGTCGTTTTATGCTCGGTCGTACGTATTTTCCATTATCGTCGACGCGTTACGCGCCAGTGAAAGTAGAAGCGACGTCGTGTAATGTTGCACGCCTCGTTAGCATAATCGGTAATTATCGTTCCCAGAAGTAGCCCGGTACACTTTCGGTGCAGTCGCGATCTCGAGCGACGTCTCCGTCCGGAAGCGGAGTATTCCTTCGTATCGCGAGAGAAACGAACGGATATTAGGTCCCAATAACCCGATTCTCAATGCCGGAAATGCATTAAGAAACAGTAATCGCGGTATGGAAGGCTATGAGAGTAAGTACCGTCTTATAATATACAACAGACGTATCTGATTACCCGTTTATGCGAACACCGATATCTTTGTACATGCGAATTGACTGAATCTTCACGCTCCAAGAATTCGCAGTAATCTGATAAACTTGACTATAAAGCTTTATTTCCGAAGGATCGCCTAAGGCGCCTTTTGTTGTACACCGCAATAAAAGTGTAGGCGATTCATAATGTAAATTCGATTATAAGTCGCGATTATAAAGTCGCGTAGCTTCGTACGTAACATCTCAATAGTTTCAATCTCGGCAACAAGCATAATGGAATATGTCAGATTAATAGGTACTCAGTCGTGTGTAACGTAACGCGAAGTACCTCGGAACTTTCAACATTGATTTTGATTGATTCTTTAATTAATTTTAAATTAATTTCTTTCATTGCCTCTCGGAATCGATCTAACGCGATGTGTTCTAAATGACGTCCGTTTCGTGAAAGCTTTGCGGTTGTCGCGAGCGTGAGATATCAGACACGTTCCTCGAATAATGGGAAGGACGTTCTCGGGAACGAGATAGAAAATTGCACTTTCCAATGCGATAAATTACACCGATTATCGACGTAATTTCTGCTGTCATGGTTCGCTCGCGCGCGGGTGTGTCTAAAAGGAACGACCGACGCGACGGCGGCGGCGATCGACGGTGCACGAGGGAAGATGTACTAGACTTCGTGAATTACTAGTACTTTCGGATAACAGATAGCCCGTCTCGCTTAGGATTAGCGAGTATGTTATTTTCGCGCAGGAAAGTGAACGGTTTCACCGTCACGCATAGGGCTTCATATCGAAGCTTGTAGTACTCGAAAACGATCGGGTGATGAGAAAGTGTCGTTTCATCGCCGATTTAAAAGAAAGCTTAGCACTTGAAACTGAATTAATGTTGGTAAACTTAAACATAAACTAGAAATTTTAGTAATTATTATTAATATATTTTTCTTATCAATATAACGAGCAATTTGATGTGAAATAAACACCAACAATAAAAATAATTCTTAAATTTGAAAAGAAGAAAGGAAGAAAACGTCTTTTTTATACAAAAATAAACGAAGAAATAATTTGCTCGAATTTTGAACTGATACAGCAAGAAGAAATATCTAATAAATTTATGAATATTATTGTAATACATAATATATTGTGCCAGCCGAGATCACCAAATGATCAGATTACAAGAAAATTATAATTTACGGA